AATAACAACTGAGTTATTAAACGAAACTGAATAACCATTCAAAACGAGTTTAGAAATTGAAATTAAATTCTTCTTAAAACTTGGAACAAAAAGACAATTGTTCAAAACCAAAATACTAGCATCAAATACTAAAGTAACTACTCCCACTGCAACTGCTGCCACTTTCGTAGCATTGGCCATGTAGACTGTAATCTCTCCATCCCTAAGTCGTCTGGTTTCCTGGAACCCCTGCAAAGAATTGCAGACATGATCAGTGGCTCCAGTATCTACACACCAGGTACTGGTAGATACAACCGCTAAACATATTTCTACGACAAAAGTATGAGAGTTACCTTCTTTGCCCTTCTTAATGAGAGCACAATCGACCTTCCAGTGCCCTGACTTATTGCATTTGTGGCATCTACCTTTCGGCTTCTTTTCCACAGCCTGTTGAGGCACTAACTGGGTGCTCTGTGCCTTTGCCTTTCCTGCAGCCTTCTTCCTCTTCCTGCCCTTGGGAGGCCTGGAAGGTCCGGCTTGCTTGGCAACCATCACAACTGATTTCTGAGTGAACAAGGCCTCAGCCGACTGAAGTTCTGACAACAGTTCTGGAAGAACCATATGCATCTTGTGCATGTTATAGTTCAACCGGAACTGATCAAAACTCTTCGGCAGAGATTGGAGCATGATATCGACCTGGGTTTCCCCGTCAATAAAACCTCCAAGAACCTCTAGCTCATTCAGCTGCGCCATGACCTTGAGAGCATGCTCCCTTATGGGTGTACCCTCTGCCATGCGCGTGTTCATCAGAGCACTTAAAGCCTCTTGTCTTGCAGCCCTCGACTGATGCCCAAACAGTTCCTTGAGGTTCAGAAGCATATCTGCAGCAGTGGCCATTGACTGATGCTGATGTTGAAGGACATTTGACATAGAAGCCAGAATGTAACATTTCGCCATCTCATCAGCCTTCTTCCACCGAGCATACTCATGTTTCTCCTCATCTAGGGAATTATAAGCCGGCACATCAGGACAAGCCTCAGTTAGCACATACTTATAGCTTTCAGCAGTTAGCACTATGTCTAAGTTCCTTTTCCAATCAATGTAATTAGGACCGGTGAGTTGATTTTCTTTTAGGATAACAGACAACGGATTGAACGACATGATGAATAAACCTGAGAATTACGAAAATATTTTACTGATTAATCACTTTGAATTTAATTGTTAATAATTACATCCTCAAAACAATACTAACTTAAATTCACCGACATCTTTAAACCTTGAGAAT